CGCCTCCGTTCCAAAGCATGGGTGTAATAAATCTCTAAACGAAACATTACTGTAACACAGTGTCATTTTTAGGAGAAAGGGGCTAACAGAAACAGCAACAACAACAGCACAATTGATTGTTTTGGCTGAAGTTCTTTCAAACAAATGCAGCCTGAGGCAGATATTCAGTTCAGGCCAAACACTTCCGTGTGCAGTTATCCCACCAGTCCAAAATTCCTGAAAGTCAACTTTAATGCTACATTGACATCAGCTCATTTGTAAAATACATAGCTGTGACCTGCTATTTTGTTGTGCTGGCCCAAACAAGAATAGCTTAATTGGTTTCTTAATTTTTTTTAACTTCCTTTGCTTTCTCACAGTAAGGGTGAGGAAATTATTTTTTTTATTTATTTTTTTAAGGTGAAGCAGAGAACATATTGGACACGGAGAGCACTTTGCTAGAATTGCCAAAAGGACCACTCACTTATGAAGACCTGGAGAAAATCAGAAGATCTCAGAGCAAGTTCTTCATAGAAAAATAGGAAGATAGTATTAGAGCTTAATACCTGAAACGTGATTGTAATACTGGTTTTGGACATAAATGAATCATTAACATTTTGAGAAAATTATGAGCTTTTATAAAACCAAAATATAAAAATAATTTTTTAAAAACAGTACTTTTTAAAGCAATGATTTTCATATTGTATGTATCTCTTGAAAAAATCCATTCTCACTGTAGTATATTTTTCTTGTTTAGAATGAAATACTGGATTTCTACTGTCTATTTAGAGTCTGAAAATAACTTTCACCTGTAGTAAAAATGTCTGGTACCGACGAAACTCACTATAATCAACAAAAATAAGTTAACTGGTAGTTCCAAATTTGTATAAATATGGTCATAATTTTCAAATATATTTAAGGATGCACAGCTCAATTTGAAATCAGGAATAGACAGTCAACTTCTTTGAAAAATAAGACACTTCTTATTTGCTGTTTTTTAGGCAGTAAACTCACCATCTCTGCTTCGAATTCTGGAATAAACAACTTTTATCAGAAGTAGGTTCAGAAGTAAACACGTCACTTGCTAACTGTGTGTTTTACTCTCAGTAAAAACTGTATTAAAGAATGAGCAGAGATAATTTCTCAAAAAGAGAAAACAAATTATGTAGCTATTTCCCGAATGTTTTTCATGCTTGTTTGACATTCTGAAACTCAGGATAATTTGTTTACATGAAATCAGAGTTTCACTACTAAGATGAATATTAACTTAGGCTAACAGCTAGCAAAATTATTAATGCATGTTTTTGTAATGGATAGATCCAAGAGGCCTTACAAGTACTGAAAAACTGAGGGATTTTTTGCATGCCTTTACTGAGGCCTTTGCATGGTATATACTGAGAATATAATTTTAGTATATTTTAGTGTTCTGATGTTGCACTTGGCAAAAAAATGCATCTTTCTGTATTGGAAATCTTGTTTAAAAACAGATTATTTTGTGTTTTGATGGAAACTCTTCTAGCATTAGTCTAATTGTGGAATGAAAAACAAATGGTTGAAAAGCATCCAATAACAAATTAAGCCTAAGTCTGTATTGACAGTTTGTTGAGTTAAAAGTTAAATTCCAGCTGGAGATAATGTCCCGAATCTGTTTTTGAAGACTACTTGACTAAAATTAGAATGTTGTTACAGTAAGACAGGTGAATATATAATAAAACAAAAGCTTCTCAGTGTAGAAGAAATTAATAGCACAGTTTCCATAGCTGTGTTAAGATTGATGTCTGAAAGTGCATTCACTTCTGCATTCAATCACTTCCGTAATTGGTTCTGTCATCTGCATGTTAACGATGCATACAATCTGTAAAATTTCAAATGTGATGCATTTTAATGTGCAGAGTGATAAAATGGGTTATAATAGCTTGTTTGGTTATAATAGCTTGGTCTACGCTTTGGCTGTTTTGGATTTAAGGCAGTGATTTTAGTTGTCTTGGAAGGCGTGCCTTAACTCAGCCTATGGTGCTACCCATGTTCCGTGAGCTCACAAAACGCAGCCCAAGACCACCTCAAGTTTTCTGCCTGTCCTGTAGCATAACCCCTCCCTACTTGCTGCTATATTATGTACTACTCTTAGGACATGTGTATCCCTGCTTACTTGTTTTGCTTTGAATAACAGATCATCTACTACCTTTCCTCCAGGTTCTGAAGTCTACCTTGCTTTAATTTTGAAGACGTTATAATAGCCTGTTATGTTTTGATCTCTGTCATCTATTGATATGCTTTCTTCCAAGAAAGCAAGCCAATTAAACCAGCTTGCTTTGGTATTTGTATGTCTCCACCTGTGCCTTTTAAGCTACCTTTTAATCCTCTGAAAGACATTTTTACAAGAGAGCAGTTTTACTTACAGATCCTAGAAAATTAGGAAATACCCTAATCCTATCCACTGTGAATTAGAAATTAATATATGTGTGTTTGTGATAGATTGCTGATCAAATGGTGGTGTTAAAAGGAAGCAAGCAGGCTAGCAAAATAATGACCCAGATAGCAGTTTTAGGAGATAATAGGATAGCTATTTATTACCCCATCCTAGCTAAATTTGAATTTTTCTTCTCCCAAAGGTTAAACTTAGATAAATAGTGTTAATCCATTGCAAGACTCCACACTAAAAAGTGATGGAAATGGGGCAAGTTTAATTCAGTGTTACACAGTCAGTATCAGTGAAAGTTACCAAGTTGATAAGGGAAAAGCAACAGGCCCAAAGCAGGACAGTCTAATGCCAAACCCAGAAATGGATTTAAACAGGCTACAGGGAATGTGCCAGAGATTGTCAAGAAGTTAAGGGTTAGTCACCTTTACTGCCTTTACTTTTTACTGCTAGCTTTGCTTTTTTTCTTGACAAATATATGCTTTTGTTTTGAAGGTGCTCGTTCTTTGTTACTGAGTAGTTATTCTACTGCCAGAGCTCACGTGTGCCGAGCCCAGTCATATCTGTCACATAGATATACAGCTGCAGAGTGGCCGAACTGTATGATTTCCTTCAGAGAACAATGAAAGCAAGCAGGAAAGCTTACCTTTGACAGGGTCTACTTCGGGGAAATAGATGTTTACAGCACAAGTTGCCTGCGATCATCATACCCGTTGTACTCATAGAAATAAATAAATAAAACACCTAAAACATCCTGCTCCCTTCTGTCATTGGTGCTCAGCTGGCTTCAGCTGTAAGACTTACTTTAATATATCACAGCAACTGTCTTTGTTTTCATGAATCATTGGGGCAGAGAAGGAGAATAACTGCAGGGGGAGGTTGTTCTGGCCTGAGGGCACTACTCTTACCACCGTAATCCTGTTGGTTTTTCTGCTCCCCAGGTGTGATAGCCATGTGTCCTGAATCAGTGTCACTCAGAGCAGGATTCTTCTGGGAAAGTGAGAAGTCAGTCATGATTAGGATGTCAAAATTAAGCTCTTTGTGTTCTTCCCATGGCTGTGTCTCATTTAAAATCCAAGAAGGTGCACCCTACTTGCGAACCACACCTGCCTGCCCCACGCTTCTCTTGTTAACGCGGTTTTGATAGGATACATGAGTATTGTTGAAAAAAACAAGCAGTTACTTTGGGGGGTCTCTTCCTTTATTCCTTGGATGAATGATTTAACTTTTCTGAACCTTTCTTTATGATAGGGAAAGTTAATTCTTAGAGCCCCTTGCTAAATGTTTTGAAGTTCTGTTATGACTATGACTGCGTATCACTGCTTTTAAAAGCAGAAGGGGAAAGCACTTACGTGGACATACACAAACGAGATCCTTTCTCCATTATTATTAAATTGCTTAATCAGTCTTGGAATTCATTATATAAAAATGCTTGGATTTCTTCATTTTTTAACTATTAGCTTTCTTAAAGGCAAACTGCTTCATCTTCTGACGAAGCCCTACATAAGATAGCTGGATAACACTGGTACTTAGTCACCAATCACGTGCATGCAGGGGTATTTCACATTTCTGGCAGAATCCTGTCTAGTATTAAGCAAACTTAAGAAATATTTTTAATTCCTGTTTGGGTGACTTTCAAAAACTACGTAGTTCTTGCAGCAGTGAATTGCATGAATTTGAAGTGAAGTCTCTGAAAAAAGACTAATGAAGTCTGCATTTCTGCCCGACATCTGATCTTCTGTGTAGATTGTCTGACATTTAACATGTGAATAAGCCTTTCATTCAAGGTATTCAAGGTATTGTTAAAGGGTATCTTTTTTATTTAGCCACCTGTTTTCATGAAACATCCTCTACCCTCTATAAACTTCGACTGCTGTTGGCAAACAGATTCAAAATTTAGTGCAAGGGAGAGAAACGGTACAATCATCTTTAACTTATTTTAGGAAACTAAATAATACTTGCATTGAGGCAGCACACTGAATGTATCTATCGTGCAAGATCCTACAGATCACGAATGGGATTTCATTTCTGTGCTCTGCTGTTGTCTGTTCTTTATAATGCAAACAGTAAGAAAGTCGATAGTTACTTCAGATTGGTTGTATTTAAATTATTTATTTTGTTCTGCCTGTATTGTTTTGAATAGAAATAGTTTTTCTAGCTATGATGAACAGATAAACAAACCTAGCCTCTGACTTGATTTAAATTCATGGCAAATTACTGAGAGATTGCCAGTTAGGCTTTTCTGTATAAGATCCTGTATGATTTAAAGTTATATGACTAACATAGTAAGTTTCTTTATAATCTGTTATTCAAATCACAGTAGATGCAGTTGAAAGCCCTAGATGCAAAGGCAACGTTACTAAAATACGGCTGGAGGAAAAATGCTGAGCAATACACCCTACTAGTGAAACTGCGTTAAGCACAGTAACATTAAGCACTGTCAAACTGCTGCCAGCTCATTCAGATATGATCCTTAATAAAACTCATTAACTCGCTGCCTGTTGTTGCAGTCTTTAATCCTAGCAAGAGCGCATTCGCAGCCTATGCTTTTCACCAAGAAGAGTGATGAAGAGTGCTGCAGTGTGGGCTCCCCTGAGGAATTATGAATGTCTTGAAAAGACATTCCCTCCCAAGCCTCTTTGACAACTCGTGCTCTATCACCTACCAACAAGCACGACGGAAAGCACAGAAAGTGCTCTCTTCCACATTCAGTAGCCCTGATGAAGAAACAGGTGAGGTCGGAAAAACTGTTTTGAACTATTTGTTTCCCAGTCTCTTGAGTGCTTGCATTTAGCAGCTGTAGTCAGAGGTTATGTGCTGCAGGCAAGTTGCAAAAATGAGGTGGGTTTTTTTTGGGCTTAAGCAAAGTTGAACTTAAGCAAAGTTTACTTTCACAGGGCGCACTGTTCTGCTTAGTGAGTCCAAAGAATGCCACCCTTGTTGGCAAGAGCCTGTTGGGGGCTGCTGGTGAAACACACGGGTGTGCGGCTCCACAAAAAACTAAAGGTGGCCATCATAATGCTTGCCTTTGCGTAAGGATAGTTAGTGTGGTGCCACAGTAACTGATGGTCCAGTTAAATTTGACCCTAAAGTATGTGGAGAGTCAGGAGTCTTCCAGCTAGACTGGCAAATCAGCCTGCTGTTTGGGGACCTCTCTCAAAATTGCCTGGTAAAAACTCTGAGAAAGACATATCTGACATTTTGCCGCTTTTAGAGACTGGATCCAATATTGGGCATGGACATCCAAGTAGGGTATAAAATAAATTATATTCATTTACAAGCTGAATACATCACCAGGTCAGTCACTGCCTGACTGAGGAGGCACCTTCCTTATTGCCCTGAAAGTCCTGGTAGTGCTCTTGCACATGACTACAGTTCTCCAGTCACAGAAAACAGTTCCCTTGCCTACAAGACCACTTACAGTCCAGGAGTAAGTTCACCTGATGTGATGGGTATTTTCAGAAAAAGTCCGGGACACCAACAAGATCAAGCTGCTGCTTTCTTTAAAAATGCAGGTTGTGATTACCCCTGCACAACTTGTCTGTAACAGCATAGCAGTTAAGACTTTAACTGAGAGAGAAAGAGATCAAGGTTTTGTTCTTCAGGAATTTTGGATTGGCAGCCTCCACTTCTGTGGATTGCATCCTAGTAACAGCCTAGATCATAGGTAGTGTCTACTGCTGAAGCGGTACCACTGTCTAAAACATTTAAGACTGGACAAAAAAGAAAGTCCAAGTATAGACAACTTTGCAGCTTGGTCACTCTTCCGGCCCTTGACGGCCTCCTTCTAGACCCAGCTCAGTGTAAAACACCCAAGTCCTCCTTGAAAAAGTGATTGGAGTCTATGTCCTCTCTGCCAGCACAGGTGAATCATTCACCTGTGTACACTAGGCTGTGGATGCATGTCCTCTGCGTGCTCTCCTTCTAGACTGAGTTTCGAGGGTTTTTCTCTATACGCTAACAGTACTCAAGGGATAGAAAGCATAGCCCTCATGCAAAAGGCTCTATAGACAACAGCTTTGCTGTATTTTTAGAGAGATGAACTTTTATGGTTTTCCACAGTATGACTGTTCATGAGCAGCCACTTCCTGTCCTACTGTGCTGAAAAAAAAACCCAAAAGCAAAGTTTACTTTCACAGGGCGCACTGTTCTGCTCAGTGAGCCTGAAGAATGCCACCTTTGTTGGCGAAAGCTTGCTGGGGGCTGCTGGTGAAACACACGGGGCACCGAGCTCCACATCCCCCGGACACGTGTGCTGGAGCCAAGGCTTCCCTGACACTTGGGTGGCTTCGGGCGCCTGCGCGCCACTGAACGTGGGTCTCGAGAATGACAAACCTGAGAGGAATTCAGGCTTTTAAATCCCACCTCAGGTGTCCGCTGCCTAAGCGGTTCTGTGGAAGTGCGTTTATTTTACTTTACTTGCTTCAGTCGTTTTGCTTCAGCCAATGTTTTGAGGATGTACGAGTAGTTACGCAGATTCTGGACCTGCAAGGGAAAAAACAGATGAGCAGAACTTTTTCACATTTTAAGAGTCATTTCAGAGGGCATCGGCAACCGGTACTTGACCACAAACAGGAGCAGCTGAGCCGGAGACGGAGTGCCCGGCGGAGGGGACGGAGCACGTCTCCGGCTCGGTGGGGAGCCGGGAGCCCGAGGAGGGAGCCCGAAGGTGGGGTGCATCTTCACCGAGGCGTGAGGAGCCGCGGCAGCAAGCGAGGGGCAGAAGGAGGGGGGAGCCCTGCCCGAGGGCACCTCGACGCCGCTTGCAGGGACGGGGAGCGCCGGGTGAGG